AAAAAAGGAGATAGTCTCCGCCATTTCGTTTTGTTGGCATCCTGAAGTTTCGCCATTTTGTCTTGGATGACATTCTCCGACACTAGTATAGAGACAAAAAAATCCAATCAGCTTTTCTAGTAGCACCACCTTGTAAAGATGCGCCTTGTGTAAATCCCAAGAACGAGTTCATAAAGAACAGCTGATTTTTGTTTGCACGTGTACGTGTTTGTACGTGTACGTATGCGTGCGTTTGACGGCTGAACGCCAGTGAAGCATTAAGTTCTGAACACATTGAAAACGACGAGCTACGGACCACAGCTTCCAATTTGCAGCGACATCATGAATTTGTATGAGTTTGACATAAAAGAAGAGGAAGAACCTTATCTGTCGCCAGAAAAATAGAAATAGATCTAATCTGGCCACAACCACAGCCGTCGCGTAGCCCGGTCGTCCCCAAAATAATTATCTACATAAGAGTACGTGTTAAAATAATTTGACAGCTGTGGTTTGTAGCTCGTCGTTTTCATTGTGTTCGGGCTATTAGAATGGCTTCTGTAAAGTGCACAGCACCACAAACGCCCAGAAAACTCGTGGCCCAAACCGAAACTACTCCTGTGAGAGAACAGTCCTAGTAGCGTTGGATCTGACAAATGCGTTTGATAAAGTCTGCCCCTCAAACGATGGTCAGCGAATTATCTAAGTGGTCAACATTCCTCAGCCAATTTCAGGGAAAAAACCAGCAAACCGAGAAACGGGGGGTTCCACAGGGTGGTGTCCTTTACCAACTGCTGTTTAATTACTACTTTTTAAAGCTCCCTCGACTACCAGAGAGTCTCAATTGTCTCTTAAGCTGACAACTGCTCGATATTGGCGTCCGGGATGGAATTGATGACTTATGATCATTAAGTAAACGGTTACCTCTCCGAACTTTCTCGCTTCTTGACTGCGCCTAACCCTCTCCCCTTCGAATGTCTCGGCAATTCTTTTTACCACCAGGCCGAAGGCGGTCAGCTGGAATTTCACGTCGATGACGAACTAATTCCGAGGGTGAATATCCCAAAAATCCTCAGAGTCACTATCGACAGTCTGCTCAGAATACAAAGCCGCAACAGGAACCTCAAGACATGCCAGAACACGGTACTCCCACTACACGACACGCTCAGATCCTCCCCATCATGCTCTGCAAGCAGTTTGATACCTGCATGGTATTGTTTCATCCTTAGAAAAAAATAATAATAATTTAACGGCGTTAAATTTCCAAACGGAAGCTAATCCAATTGCTCTATTTTTTAAGATTTTTCTTTAATTTTTGAAATGATGGCAAAATATACCCTTGCCTTTCTTTTATCAAAACAAAATCTTGACGCCTTTAACATTTAAGCAAGAACCAAAGGAAAAGTAAAATGCCAAGCTATGCCGGAACAGGGCAAAATGGCGAAAAAATCGATTCGAAATCAGTTTGATTTGAATGATTCTGCATCACCTCCCGATTGAAATACCGAAGAATTTAAAATCGGAGCAACTCCTACTTTCGACATATTGATACTGTGGCGAATACTGCGGCAACACAAAGCGAACAACGAGAAATAGGCAGAATGTTCGAGGAATGACGTAGAATGTTCCACAAAGAGAAACGTCAAGTTGGATGAACACTGCGAACAGCGAGAGAAAGAGAATGAGCGATAAACTTCAGAACGTTCTAGAGTTGCCATAAGTGTGAGCGCAGGTATATAAGAGCCACGACACAGCGGAGTTGAGACAGTTACAAGTCAGCAAGCTACAAGTAAAGTGAGCGGAGAATTGAGTTGCGAATAAGCAAGCTATAAGTTTAATTGTGTTAACAAGTAGTAAAGCGTTGTTATTGCTTTAACAAGTATTGTAAAGTGTTTTTACTGTATTAGCAAGTATTGTAAATTGTTTGTTGTACAATAAAGTTAATTGTACTACAAGTTGGTCATCGTTAGCATTTATTTAACAATCCAGCGATACGAGCCCGAGTATATTTGGGTAATCCCTCAAGGTTTCGAGGATAATCGTAACAATACTTTAGTTCTAATACTTTAGTTGTAGGTCTATTTAATGCCTACTTTGGTTCTGTCTTTCTTTGAGAAAGTTGGGCTCTTTTGGATATTATTTACTTTTTTTTAATATTTCATTGCATTGTTTTTTTTTTAATCGTGCCAATTGAAAGACAAGACGAAATTTTGACGGATTAAGCAAAAAATTTTACATTTCTCGTGGTAAATACGAAGTTCAGAATTTTACCTAGCTCATGTGACTAGGTAAAATTTTGACAAATACTAAATATGTATACATATGATGTTAGCTTTGTTTCATAGCAGATAACTATCACAAATTATCACTAATATCTGTTGGAAAACGTTTCTTAACCCAAAAAAATAGCGGAAACTAGCAGCACTCTCTCGTTCTTACACTCTTTTTTTTTTGGCTCTCTTGCTTATTTGTGGTAGTAGAATTTTTACTGGCAGAAAGTTTCTGCCAGAAACTAGCAGCTGTTAAAATGAATAAACAAAAATTCGCGCTAAATATTTTCAATAGTCAAATACACCGATCAGCTGTTTACTGGCATGCTTCCACTAGTTTTGCGTTTCTTTACTATTTTTTTATTTCGCTCTCTGTGAGCGTAATTCTCTCAAATTTCCCATTATTCTTTTTCCTCATAATTATCTGCTAGAAAAGAAAAGAAGCAAAACCATGATTTGTTGTGAAAATCAAAATGGAAGCGAAAAAAAGCGTATGTTACTTTCAAGTTATAAAATAAATATAAATTTTTACAATTTCAAGAACACCCAAAAATACATCTTTCGCACGAGCATTTTTTTTTTTTGTTTCTCAAGTGTCAAATTTTACTTTGCATTTGGCACAGCGAAATTCGCTTCATTTGTACACCATAGTAAATTTTTCCAGACTGTCACACCACAGAGAAAAAAGTTACCGATTGGCACACAGCCAATTCAACGCACGCAGATTATCAGGTGGTCGCTTTTGCTAAGAACACATAAAAGGCAAATCAACACAATGGACGAGGTAAGAATTAAACGTAACCCGCCATTTAAGTTAAATAATAAAGAGTTTATGCAATTATTTACTAAGTCGCGTTCATGAAAGATTGCGGATAATTTAAGCAATTACTCCCTATATCATTTTACAAGAAGACCCCTAATACTTTGTTTAACACCAAAAGAGATACTTCAGAATTAAGGAGCTAAATTTCTGTCTTATTTTTCTTGTAATCTAAGTTTGTTTTAACTTTTATTTTCCATCTTTACCAATTACATCCCTGTGAAAGAATTTCATGAACCAAAAGAATTTCTATCCGGCGAGGTCTTTATTTTGTAGTTTAGATTTACAAGTTAATGTGAAGAAAATAATCGTGTTCAGTTAGCCAGCTGATTAAAAATATTACGATTATCCGATTTATTTGTGTACGCTCTATTAATTTATCCATTAACACAATCTTGACAGCTAAATAAAACCAAATGGAATTAAAACACTTTAGCGGAATTTCTACAGCTAACAACTAGAGATGAAACTTCATTAAGCTCGATAGGTAAACGATCATTGGATCGATTTGCAGCCCCATGAGCTAGGTAAAATTCCTACTCACCACGAGAAATGCCAAAATTTTATATTTATTTATTTAATTTTTATTTATTTATACACATACCCTAAGTATCATGAACCAAAAATACAAGATCACGCCTTCTTCTTAGTAGCCCGATATAACCGCATGTAGGAAAAAAGTTGGGCGACTTTGACATTAGCCATTTGTTTACATTTGTTCGTTGTTTACAATTTGGTGGTGGCTTTTTACTGCAATTTTCTTAATTTTCGCTTGTGACAACGTGTGCACACATAAAGTAAAGAATAATTTAACACAACGACATGATTTATAGAAGAATTTGCATAATAAAAATGATTATTCATGCGTTCAACAATTACGCGGTTTTTTTGTTCTCTTCGTTGTTTACTTATTACAACAAAGATGGCGTAGAGATTTCAACAGCTAGAAAATAACTTTTTTCTTTCTTTCGGTAAGGCGTGATCTTGTGTCTTTCGTTCATGCCCTAAATGCAAATCAATGTAACCGGTAAAATCCTGTACTTGAAATCGATTGTAATTTATCGACTATATACTAATTTTTACTAGTTTCGTATCATAGCTATTTCTAGATAGCCAGATTTGCATAGCAGGAGTTGGATTATTTACCTACATATATGTTATCTTATTGAAGTTTGAAAATATTATTTATGCACTAAATTCATTTCAACAAAGTTGATTCATATCGAAAAGTGATATTTTTACGTAAAACGATGTAGTTATTATTGTGAAATTTCTTGAATTACTAAATCCAACTGATAGCAAAGTCTGGGTGTAGTTTATGGAACGATTTGAGAACTGAACAATTTTCGCATTGCATTTTTTTTTTTTGATTTCCCTCAAATGGAAAAACGGCTGTGCTGGTGAATTAGAATGCAATAATGGCCTATATAAATGTTGTGGAGTGGACCCCTGACCAGGTGACAGACTGGCTGAAAGGTAAGTTGGAAACTAAACCAATTGAAGGTTTTTCCCATTGTCTATGCAACAAAGTGGTAATGTGGGTGCCACTCCCGAACTGTACAAAGTACGTTTCAATTAATATAATTATTTTGTTAGGTTTGGATGAGTCAATGGAGCATTATATTAGTTCATTCACAAACAATGAAGTCGGTGGTCGTCAACTACTTAATATACGACCATACGAATTAGAGCAACTGGGCATGTACTCAATTGGTCATCAAGAAATTGTTTTGGAGGCTGTAGAAAATTTGCGCAATTTTGTAAGAGAACTAATCATTTCGGGAAATACATATATAAAAAATACATACTTACATCTTCTTTATATCTTTTAGTATTACAATTTGGACAAAGAAAACTTGCAGTTTATGGCATTACATGTGGCTACTGCTGCACATAGCTTGCATCGGCAATTAGTTACACATAGTGATACCTCAAAAATTGAGACACAAATTCTGAGCGACATTACCCGCACAATTGGCACCATAAAGCCGCTTATTGGTTGGCTCGAACGCGCACCTTTTCAGGGACAAAAACAATTTACAGAAATTTGTCGAAATTTACTGCGTCTTGGCCTTGAAATGGCTACAATGGCACAACGCGATCGGTTTGTTGAACGCCCGGTGGATCAGATACGTGGAACTGCAGAGAAACTTGAGCGACTTGCAAACTATATAATACAAGATATATCAGATCCCATGTTGCTACAACCAGCTTCGTTAAATTTGGTCACTGTAAAGAAAAGGGAAATGGATCCTGGTTTTGAAATCGAATCCAATTATCATGGAGTTCACCGCATTACAGAAATTAAGTATAATTCTCCAGCACACACCTCCGGCAAAATAGAATATGGCGATGAAATTGTGCAGATCAACTATCAGACAGTAGTAGGCTGGCAGGGGAAAACGGTGTGGCATCAATTACATGTGTCACCGACGGATGTGCTTTTAACATTAAAAAAGCGACCGAAACATATGAAAATTTACGGCCAAATTTACATGCAGCCTTATCGATTACCCAGCAAGAAGCGGACGGTTGGATCACGTTGGGGTGAAAACTTGCCAACTCCAAGAACAGGCTTTCTCACAGTGCCAAACAATTCTGCCGCCTTTGAGCTTCTATCGCTGAAATCTGAAGAAAAGGTCGCTACGACCGCTTCAGACTCGGAATCCAATTGCAGTGACACTTCCACACCCACAGAAACAAAAACATCGGAGAAACGTAGTCGACTATATTATGAAAAGCCGCGTACTGTACTTCAGCGCCGGCACACAATCAGTGGCGACCTCAAGTGTGGCAGTGACGTAACCCAGCATTACAAACCAAAAGCTGGCATTGTGGGTGATCCATCTTCTCCGAGCTTAAGAGATAAATGTAAATCGTTCGGCTTCGGTTTAGAGTTGACTTCGCGACCGAAAACTTGTATTGGTATGGGCGGAAAAAATGAAGATGGTGCTGAAATGCAGGAAGTATTTAACAAATCGAAGATGGCTATAGAAGGCACTGAAAACGCGGAAAACATGATTGAACGTTCAAAGCCCGGAGTAAGCAAGGTTGTGCGCTTTGATGCAAATATGAAATATGAAGACTATCCAGTGGATGAAAAATATACTTGTAATGTAGAAAATACAATTTTAGAGACTTTTGAACCAATTTTGTTTGCTGATGAAGAGGATGAAGATGTATTAGATATGCAGCGTAATGCCGCAAGAGATGAGAGACTTTTAGTCCCGACCACGTCAATACTAACAACAACCCCAGCTACCCCTAAACCTCCAGCGCCTTTGCCAGATGCTATAGCTGAGGCTGCAGTTGTTGAAGCAGTAAACGTGCCAATTGTAGCCCGGCGCGGCCGTCTCGACAAAAGCCACAGTACACCAGCCTACGACAATACGGGCGTAGATTGCGATACTCCTCCTGCTATTGAGCCGCGTAAAGAATTTCTACAGCAAACGCCGCCTGTGCCACCGCCCCGTCCTCGCAAACAAAAAGATATGTTACCGCAGCCTGTACCACCTCCTCCTCCAAAACCAGCTAATCTAATGGGCATTGCATTGCAATTGCCACATTCTCTGCAATCGCCTTCCAGCAGCAAGTTAAATACATCAGCGATTAGTCCAGAAGGAATAAACAATAGTGTATTGCAGTTGCCCTTGTCTACAATGCCGTTAACGATGACTTCGCCATCAATTGCAACAAACACCAATATTAGCTTATCAAGTACTCCAACACAAATCAATGAATTACATACTCCAACAAAAAGTCGCACTTTATCGCTAAAGAAAAAGCACAGCTTAGTAGCTAAAAGACGCAATGTTAATCTGAAGGTGCTCGGAACAGGTGACATACAAGGGCATTTGTATAGACGCACGAAAGATAGACGTGGTGTCACATTTTGGGCCCGACTTTATTTCGTAATGCTCAATACTATTCTGTATGGATTTCGCTCCAAAGAGGCAACAAAAGCTAGTTGTGTCATATTTCTCCCCGGATTCACAGTATCATTGGCCAAGGTAAATAAAAAATCTTGAAAAAAAAAATACCCGGAGTCATAAAAAAGTGTCTCAAAAATGGCATTTTATGTTCAAAGTGAGGTGAGCATGATTTTAGAATTTTAATAAGCTGATGTTTTACTTTCAAAAGTGGCACAATATTTAAAACAATTCTCAACATAAAAACTTAAACTTAACTTTAAAAATATTCGGCCCTATTGAAGTAAGATAAAATAGATTTACAGTCCAATTCTGTGCACTTGATAAATAATTTTTTTTTTTTATAATTTGTCAATTTTTTATTATTTATCGAGAACTGGAATTCTACACATAAATCAAAGGCTTTTTTTAACCGAGTTCCAAAAAAGGAGGAGGTTATCAGTTTTTTTTTATGTATGTTACCGCATAACTTTGGACCACGTTAACCGTTTTAGATAATTCTTGTTGCATCGGAAAGGTAGTGTCTTAGATAATTCAAAATTTACTGATTTCGTATTAGCGATGCCAGGTTTTTCAAAAAGACAAGTAGAATTTTTATTCGTCCTATTACTTCGGCATCTTTTTATTTCCCATAAAATTTAAAAATTTTCTGATTTCGTATTAGCGATGCCAAGTTTTTCAAATTGACAAGTAGAATTTTTATTCGTCCGAAATTTTGTTGACACCCATTTTAATGCAAGCGAACCAAAGCAACTGGCACAGGGTGGACTTTTTAAAGTATGCATATTTCTTAATGGTACGTAGTTAATTTTTACATTTTATTGAAATTAACGTGTGTCTTATAAAAGCATAAACCTATATATAGTGACTCAAACAAATGACCACGTGTTGATTTTTTCATAAATATTCGTAGTGTCTTTTGGGCTATTTTTAGTTATTTTTCTATAAAAATACCGTCCCAAGCTTTAGTCGGAACCATCAAGGGTTTTGACTTTATACAAAATGTATGAAAATTCAACAAAATCATCAAAATTATATATATAATATTTATAGAAAAATAACAAACAAAAATTTATTTGAGACACTGTCAGGCAGATTCTGAACAGAAACTCCCTGGGAGTTTTCTCTCTTTTCCCTTTCCTCCTATCATGAATAAAAATTACTTGAGAACTTTTTATATTAAATGGAGGAGTTCAGCTCTCAAAAAAGTGTCTTATAGCTTTTTCGAAGTTCGAATTTCCTCCTCCCAAGTTTTCGGGGAAAATGCTGCTCCTGGGAATTAATTATTGGGGGATTTCTTTTTCGGGAGAATCAAATTCCAGGAGAACAAACTCCCCGGGAGTATAAGAATTGGCCTGTGTATTTTTTTCTAATATGCCTACGAGAAAAATTTAAAATCTGCTCGATTTAACCTAAAACTATGATTACGGGCCTTAAAAAATTAAATTCATTTCATTTCATTTTTTTGCCCATCTACAGGAAGTACATTCGAAGCCACACGCCTTTAAAGTATATCATGCAGCGAAGACATTCTACTTCGCAGTGGAGTCTCAAGATGCTCTAAATCAGTGGGTAGAACTGCTCAGGCAAGCCACTTTGTTTCCACAAACGAACTCACAGAATATGCGACAGCTTGCAACAGCCGGTGCTATGGACAATATAAACACTAAAGATCTATTTTCAGAAACGGATAGTTCAGGCGAAGAAACTGAATCCATGGTGTCCAGCAATTTATGTACGCCATCGCCCCAGTCTTCTGGAAAGGATATCGTCTCAAATTTATCGTCCACTACATCCACGCCCACCTCATCGCAGCCAAAACAGGAACGCCGATATTTGGGTTCCCTGCGCAAACTGACCAAAGGCACACTGCAGTTCAAAAGTAGCGGGTCGTCTAGTGAAAAGAAGCCTTCGAGTGACATTCCAGTGCCTACAGATCAATATCGGAGTTATAGAAAAGTACCGGGGGGAAGTTTTGGCTTACAGATTGGCACGAATACGCCAGGGTACCACCACGATCTATCGTTTCAATCGCCTCAAAACAGCAGCCCTCCTACGCATATATTAAATACTTCACAACCGCATTTGGTACCTGCAGCGGCGCCTCCACCACCTCCGCCGCATGATTTGGGACGTAAGCTTTCGCTGTCTTCAAGTCACGTTTCAATCGTAAGCAACGGCACTGATTTCTCGCTCAATTCCTCAGTGGTGTCTACATCCTGTTTAGGCCCACCATCGTCACCGGCACCAGTGCCAGAACGCAATGAATCGTATCCTGAAACCCACCAGTCACCTGGCGCTCAGAGCACGTCCACATCAACTTCAAGCATATCATCGAGGTCCATGCGAAAAATACCATATAACTTTATACATGCATCCAATCCAAATTTAGTCGAGTTCGATTTCCAAACATCAAAAACACTTGACTATTCGCTGCCTAAGATCAACTCTGCCAATTCGTGGGATGCACATCACAACATACAAAGCTTCATCACATTAAAGGATCTAATGCTACGTAAACAGGAGGAGGAGGCCCAGGAGATGTATAACAATCGTGTGTTGCTGGGTGTCGAGAAGAAGGAGGTGCTACAAAATAGAATTGGTGGAGCTGGGGGCGGTTGTGGTGACAGCTGCGCCGGTAGTATTAGCAGCAAATTATCAAAAACACAGAATCGCAGCTTGCCGAAAACGCCCGATTATGAAATTAGTTTTAAGCCGGACGATGAAGATATTCGTCGCACACGCACCAAGGAAGGTCTGAAACTGCGGGACTTTGGCTACGAACTAATATCCGGTGACGAACCAATAAGCTCTGGCAGCGCAGGTGCTGGCGTATTGGCGGCGTCACGTCAAAACTCTAACATGTCCACAGCAAGTAGCAACGCTGACCACCACTCTGAGAGTAGCAAATCGCGTTCGTTTGCATTGCTGCCGCACAAAAGCAAAAAGCATTCGAGTAATAGTTGCTCCTCTACATCTTCGATTACCGAGTTGGCCAGCGGCAGCGAAAAACGTTCTGGTAGTATTAAAAAGAAAAGCAAAAGTGAGCGTATTTTCCAGCAATTCCACAAACATACGGGTAGCATAAGCAGCGGAAGTTCGGCAATGACCATGACTTTGCCGCTAAACAAACACAAATCCAGCCAGCGGGAGATGGAATTGTGCAACAGTGGAAAAAGCGGTATTAGCGGTGCAGGTATAAAGAAAAGTCATACCTACAATCATGATTTGAAAGAGAAGGCGGGTATCAAATATGATGCGCATCGCAAAAATTCTGTGCCAATTTTGACTAAGTTGAGCACGACATTCGGTGTCGGAAGTAACAGTAGTGGGGCCAATGCTGCTGGATCAGTAAACAACAGTAGTGCGCCCGGTAAGAGTAGCAAAGAAAAACGTCTGCTGGGCTCACCATTGCTGCATCGCACCGTTTTTGGCGCGCATCACCATCAGCAACAACAGCAACATAATATGAGTGGAATTTCAATGCCCACGACGCCGACTTGTACTGGTCGAGAATATGACCGGGAGATTTTCTCACAGATAATCTTTCCAAAAGTGAACACCGCACATCATCAGCAGCATCAATCCAATCACTACCAGAGTGATCGTAATGGCGCGAACAGTTCGCGACATGTACAATCCAACTCAGTAATCACCGCTCCGGATGTGGTGGCTCCACCACCGCCCCTACCGCCTCACGAACCCCGAGACGGCAACAGCAGCAGCAGAAACCTTAAGGATGCAAATGCTGCTACTGGAACGGCTGCACCAACAATCAATTCGCCCGAGTATCCACATATGGAATGTCCCCCGGTATTTGAACCCGAAATATACTCATTAACTGATACGCATGCTAGCCAAACACTGTTGCTCCGTCGCAAAGACAGCGGCAGTAACGGCGTTGAAAAGCAGCAGTAGCAAATTTAATTACGAACAGGGACAAATATAGGAATATCCTATTAGAAATACCCTAAGCTGTTTAGAGACAGCTGCGTACGTCAAATAATATAGTGTCTTCCCTTAGTTAGTTTTATGTTCTTTGGCTTTAAGTTTGAGAGTCATGTAAATTGAATATTTTTGAACATAGTTTTAGTCGAAATAAAGTCTATATAATATTTTATGAACATATTCAGATATAAAGTATCCAAAAGCCCTAATTTTTTTATATTTTATTTAAATACAAAGTACCATAAGCAAAACAAATTGAATGTGCATCTATGAGTAGTCGCTTCCCGACACATCTCACTGACCCTTACTGTTCTAAAGCGCACCTATTTCCCGTTCTACCTCTTCCTTCGAAAACATGCGGAAATCTTCGTTTGGTCTCATCACCAGCACTTCAACATTCTTCGATTCCAATTTTTCCTCCATTACTTGTTTCAAAATAGACATTGCCAATTTTGTCGCTTCTTGCAAACTCATATCTTTATGATATTCATCTTTCAGTGTTTGTTGGGCTCCCTCGCTGCCGGAACCAATTGCTTTAGCACCATAGCGCACATACGTTCCCGATGGATCCATGTGCCAAAGCTGAGGAATACCTTCATTAATTCCGGCAAATAGCATGGCGACACCAAATGGGCGACTCATTGCCGAGCCGCCATCACTGCTGTCTCCAAACTGTATAGCCATAGCAGAAACTGCTTGCGCACACGATTCGATCGGCATTGGTTCATTGTAGATGAACCAATAGTTTTGGCATTCCACTCGTGCACGGTCAATCAATGTTCGTGCATCAGCAGTCAGTCCAGATGTAACACAACCAATGTGTCGGTCTACTTGGACGATTTTTTCTACACTACTAGATACCATCAAATCAGAAGTGTTACGTTTCTCGGCAGCGAGTACCACACCTACAGATCAATTTCAAATCGTTAGAACTAAGTACTATTGTGATAATATTATGCAGCTTACCGCTACTTGTGCAAATTCCAATGGCAGTGGATCCTAATTTAATAGCCTCTATGGCGTATTCGACCTGGAAGAGGCGTCCTTCTGGTGAAAAGGTATTTACACCACGATCATACTCAGCACGTGTTAAAAACATCTGAAATATTATAAATGCACTATACAACTTTTGTCATTATATTTTAGCCACAGGACTCACATTTCAACTCAAATTTTATGATTATTCAGAGAAAGAACTAATTAATAATAAGCGGCTAGGAAAATGACCAAACACTTTTGCCGTCTATAACGCTGTCAACAGAAACGTCAAAAACCAGCATTACCAACAGCTCACGCAGGAAGCCACCTGAAGAAAAAATGATATAGACTGGGTTCACACAGAGAAACTTTTGTTGCTCATTTACGGCAATTTCTCTTTTGGTGAAGCTTTTCTCGTTCACACAGAGCAATTCTACACACAATTGTTGTTGTCAGCTGTGAACGGCCAATTAGAATTACTCAGACGGACGAGAGCACAAAGCGTGTTGCCCGAGCACGAGCAGCTCGGTGCCCTTCCTCCTTCCTCGTCACTGCCTCTCCCACAAGTAACGAGTTGCCGCGACAAAAGTTTCTCTGCCCGAATCTAGACATATAAAGTTTACAAACTGTCTATTAGTGTGTTTACAGGCAACTTTTAGTTAAGGGCAACAATTACCGGGTGTCAACGGCCTTCCAAATAAACGCTGACAATGAAAATGGGCGGCAACCAACTTTTGAGTTAATTGGCTTTAAGATAACCTGAAAAATAGCCTCATGTAAACACCCTATAAAAGCAATTTTGTGAATACCCATAATAATTATCGTTATTGCTATAAATGCGCGAGCAGATTTCGAAAAATTGCATGTTTTATTGAAAGGGGAATAGTTTATTTTTGTTGCTGTTGTTGTTGTTGTAGCGGCTAAAACAACACCGCCCAGATCGGTTAGTATCTCAATCGTTGTCGTCAAGTTCAACTAACGGAAGACCCAGAGATAGAGGCGTTCAGCCACTATAGGGTCTGTCCACAGGGACAGAGGTGTCAGTTGCGTGGGGTTTTTCGGGCATACGAAGAGATGTTGCGAGTCGTGGGGTGTCTCTCCGCATACCGGACACTCATACCTCTGCATCTAATCTGCTTAGGTATGAGTTCAGCCTGCTGCAGTAGCCAAAGCGAAGTTGGGCTATTGTTGTCCGCGGCCAATTGCCTTGTCGGCTAGCGACTTGAGGACCTTGTTGCGGCTCTGTACTTTGTTGATAATTGCGGTTGTGTGTAAAGACAAGGAGAGCAGACTTTCGAATGTTACTCCGAGTATTTTTGGGTTATTCATCATCGGAATTGGTGTGTCATCAACGTAAATACCCTGCGGTAGTCTGACCTCCTTCGTCCAGGTGGTAAATAAGGGCGCAGAGGATTTTGTAGGGCGCTTTTATATGAGTACCCTTAATATTCTTTCACATATTTGAAATTTTATTTATCAATTTACGACGTTAAAATTAAAAAAAATTCCGGCACAGTACTCCTTTTGCAATCTGAAGCGAAATTGGTCGGCGGCAACTTTGGTTCTTCAGTCAAGCTCTTCTACGTTCTACTTGTGTCATTTGACATATGTCAGCTGACCATTTGCGAACTCTGCCTAGAAAAATTTAGTTTATTGATCAAAAAGTGGAAAATGGCTTTACATTCAGCAAGAGGAAAACTTATATCCGTAATTGGAGATGAAGTAAGTAACTATGGGCATTTTTCAACAGTTTAAATATTATTCTCCACTGTTCCTTTTTATTTCTAGGACACCTGTGTTGGTTTTCTTCTGGGTGGAGTTGGCGAAATCAACAAGAATCGCCATCCCAATTTTATGGTCGTTGACAAAAGTTAGTGGAATTATTTGCTACATATGTATTTTCGTTTTGGCACATATTTTACTTCAATTTTATACATATTTAATTAAATTTTATACAATTTTGAATAGATACGGCAGTAAGCGAAGTGGAAGATTGTTTTAGACGTTTTGTAAAGCGCGATGACATCGATATTATTTTGATAAACCAAAATTGCGCTGAACTCATTCGTCACGTGATTGATGCACACACATCGCCAGTACCAGCGGTGCTGGAAATTCCATCTAAGGATCATCCATATGATGCTAGTAAAGATTCGATTCTGAGACGTGCTAGAGTAAGTCAATAACAAAGTTCGGCCAGTGCCCTTAAACGATATTAACATGGTCTTGTTGTTTTCTTTTCGTTACAGGGCATGTTCAATCCTGAAGATTTCAATTAAATATCATGCCGAAGTAAATAAAAGATGTTCACAACTCAAACTTTTAATTCAAAACCCCAGTATTTCAAGCCTTTTGTTTTTATTTAATTCGTTGTTAGTTCTTGTGATTGTCTTAAAATGCAATAAATTTGTTGGCCAAGAAATTGGCTTGCATTCCATTTTAGGGTTTGTTAAAAAATAAAAAATAATAAATTACTTAAAACTATATGAAATAGATAATCAGTTGATCAATTGCGGGAAGTATAACAAAATAAACACGGATTTATCTGCTCGCAGCTTAGTACGAGCGGTAATCTGAATTATTTAGATATTCATGTGGCTGTAGATATATATAATAGGGATTGTATACTGCGCTATTAGGACTATTTTGTCCCTCATAGCTCATCGCAACCCCTGGCATAGCCCTAAAGCTCTAACCAAACCAAATACAGAGAGCCACTGGCCACATTTCACCGAAATGTACTGGCCTTCTTCTGTGACCGCGCCGCATTCGAAAGTGGGGTTTCAACCGCCGCATCACAGTATCAATGGTGGCTATTGCCTTTGCTCAAATACATACATACATGTAGCGAATAAAGTCAAATTTTTATCCTATATTTATTAGATATAATGCGCCTAAAAAAATAGCTTAAGCTCCGACCCAATTTTCTGTGTAAAGTGTTAAGCTTAAGCTCAGTTAAGGTGTTCTTACACGATATGTATTTGCATGTGTACATGCCACTTTTTGCATATGGAAATGTCAACATATCGTGTAAAGGCAAATTAGATTTGTTTCTATACAGAGCTGATGCACGTAGTACATACGGAATAGAAATGATTCTATTTTCATCTGATATACAGATAAAATATCTGAGTTTAATTTATTTCGTTTTCAAAGAACGTATTTTTAAATAGTTAAATAGACTGTGAATTTGACAGACATACGCAATTACATATGTATTGAAAAAGTCTAATTTACAGATGCAAATACATATCGTGTAAGAACACCTTTAGTTAGAGCATAAATTGAAGCTAAGCTTAAGTACATCCTTTTTGCTTAAGACCCATTAAAAAGATAAGATAAAATAATTTTTAAAATATGAAACCTTCAGCCCAATTTTTAATACTCTCGAGAGTTTGTTCCCCGGGAATTTGTTTCTCCCGAGAAAGAAATCCTCCAATAGTTAATTACGAGGGAGGAGCATTTTCCCGAAAATTTGGGTGGAGGAAATTTGAATTTAGAAAAAGCTGTTAGACACTTTTTAGACACCTCAACTCCGCTCTTTAATATAAAAAATCGCCAGGGAATTTTTATTCATGATAGGAGGAAGGGGAAAAGAGAGAAAACTTCCAGGGAGTTTCTGCTCAGAATCGGCCTGTTTATTTCACTCAAATGGTCTATATCAGTACAGTACAGTCAGTACATCAATCATCATAGTATCATTACAATCAATCATTAAAGTTTAGAAACAGCGATTTTTTTGCAATACGGGCAACTGTTTTTTAATTATTTTATTTTTTAATTTTTTTTATAAAAATATGGTTAATTCTAAACCTTGTGCAAAATTAAAGAATATTCTGCAAATTTTCATTAAAAATTGCAGACTTCAATTACAAAGTTGAGTATGGAGTTTTTTAAAAAAATTTTTAATTTTTTTTTATATAGAGAAAATCGATGACACCTTCAACAAAAGAATTTGCCAAAAATCATTGGTATAGCTACATAGCTCAGACTTACACGTAATTGTACTAAAATTGAATGTGTTAAAAACTCGGGATTTAATCGGCGAAGAATCGGCCGATTAAATCCTGAATTAAATTAATTTCAAGAAGAAATGTTTTCATAAACTTTTATAATAACAAAAGAAAAACCTAACCAAATAACTAAATAACATAACCTCATTCAAGAATCGGCCAAAAACGGCAGATGCCGGTTCTTTTGGCATGTACTAGCCCCGGCATCGTCCGATTAATCGGTCGGACTCTACTGCACACTTCTTTAATTTTGCACAATGTTTGGAGCTCGGATTTTTGGGGCCTTGGTCGTAGAAAAAAATATATTCTGACGAATTGATAACCTTTCTCCTTTTTGTGAAGTTGGTTAAAAGACACACATTTATTTAAACTGTTTCTAACTTTCAACACTTGAGCCGTTTATTTTGAAAGTGGCATAAGACACTTGGTTTCTAAATCGAGATTTTTAAGGGTTTGCGATTTATTGATGCTAACTTCCAAGAAGTTTTACCTGTATTTATTATCTTAGGATACCTATATTTTTCTCAGTATAAATAATTTTGTATATTCATTGAAAAATCACCACTTTTCATTTAGGTAAGGGGACCTATTCCACTTTCAAAATAAATAGTTTAGAAAAGTTACTTACACATCAATTTTGTCCGAAGTTTTAAGAGTGTTCGCCATGCAAAAAACTTTAACAAGTTGATACCAATTGTTACCACATCGTGTTGTTGTAGCAGCATACAAGTTCCCCGAAGAGTTTTTGGGGAGTGTTGCCGGAGTGACAGTCCTTGGCCAAATATAAATCTGGGTCGTTCCGGTTACGTAGACCCGACAGTCGTGGAAACGACCAAATCGTGTTCGTTTGGCTCGCTTGATGCGGAGTGTGGCTAGACGTTCGTCCACCGGGGGGAACCCCAGTACTCGGCGACGGAGTCTCTCTCCCGCCACAAACACTACACCGAATTTCCGCTCCTTTACGTTGCAACTGACGTTGAAAGGCTCCCGCTTACCTTGCCTTGCCCGTCCATCGCATTTCTTGGATGGCGGTGATGTCAGCCTTAGTCTTCCCGAGGACATCAACCAGCCGGGCAGAGGCAACTTCCCCATTGAGGGTCCGGATATTCCAGGTGCAGAACCTGAAATCATAGTCCGTTATACGCTTGCCGTTGTCGTCATCAAAAAAAGGGGCTCTTATCCGAGGCTTTTTCTTACTTTTCATTGAGTGGGGTTTGAACGCGGCGGGACCCAAACCCAGCGCACGCGTAGTCTTACGCCTTTAGCTCGCTACACGTGGATATAAATATCCGACGTTGTGAGCTGCGCTTTGAGTCGTACACACAAGAATCACTTCTGGCCACTCCCAGGCAGGGGCGGACCCAGCAGCAATTCTTGGGGAGGGGGGAGGAATTTTTCAACATATATCGTGTATATACATATATTTAAAAATCACCGCAATTTAAAATTTTTAGAGTTTTGATAGTTTTTAATTTCTTGATGTTTCCCCTTTTTAATAACTTGAGTGGAATTCCAAAATTTTCTAAACTTTGTGAATTTGAGAAATTTTAGTAAATCCCAATAACTCAATATAATGCTGAATACTAGATTTCTAGAAATTTTTTATTTTTCAAAAATTTTGAGAATTGTAGGAATTCTAACAAATTTTTTCTTAGTAAAAGCGTGGAAAAAATTTAAAATTCTCAAACTTTGTTATATCCATACAAAATTTGGGAAAAGTTCAGAAAAGTGGAACTATTTTGGAATTTTTCAAAAATGTTAATATCTTTTAGAATTCTAAAAATTTTCTATTTTTTACACACAAGTACATGAACATACGAGTTTTTCGACAATTTGTGATGTTTCATATTTTTACATTTTAGGATGGATTTTAGGATAAATAAAATTCTCAAAATTTTGGAAAATATAAAAATTTCTAAAATCTCAATAATTTTGTACATTTCAAAATATTCTCATTTTACCAAATTTTCTAAGAATCTCCCGGATTTCGATAGTTTTCGAAATTTTGGAAATTATCCTAAAAATAAGAAATTTCAAAAAATGAATGAATGAAGAATAATGGGGCGTATTCTTGTTTTCGTACGAATCGAAAATCATGAAATTTTCCTATCATTTTCTATACAAAAATTTAAAATTTTCGATTCGTACGAAATCCAGCATATGCCTCAATATTATAAAATTCAAAATTTTGGGATTTTCGCTGTTTTCCGAACCTGTGAAGATATTCAAACTTGCTGTGACTTTCAACTGTGAAAAATAATACAAATTCGAAAATATAACAAAAAAAGTAAAAATTGAAAATTAAGTACATAATTTCAAAATTTTGAAAATTCAGTGAATTCGAAAAACTGATAGGCCTACTTAAATAACATAATACATACATACTTCGAGCCATGATACAAAAAAGAAGGTAGTTTCAATAAACAACTTTTTGATTAAAAAGCAGATTTTTGACAATTGCTCAATTGTGAAAAATTCGAAGCGGCATTACCCAATTGTAAGTTTTTTGGTGTGGGACATTTTATATCCTAAATTTGGGATTATAAAGAAAATAGTTGTATTAATATATACCTTTTAAAACTAATCAATATCTTATCTTGAAAACGTTTAAATTTTACATTAAATTCGATAACAACTTGCCAAATCATTATTTTAATATTAATACAATATCATTAATTCACAATTTAGTTTTCTATATCGGATACGAGATTCTGATGTAATTCTGAAATTACACATTTACACAAATTACTGAAATTACACATTTCGATGTGTTATTTAATACATATTGTCTTTGTCCATTTAACAGCAATGGAATTTACTTTGGAACTCATGGGCCGTACTATTTTTCTAGCAAGACATATTGTTTTCACATAAAATTTTGACACACCCAAAATTGAAGGATAAAATAAATAGATAAAAACAAATTTTCTATAAAACTGATTTGTGTAGTCCAGGGGCGTCTTTAGTAAATGTTTTGGAGGCTGTTTTAACATATCCTATCTTATTATATATTTCTTAGCTTTTCTACATTTTGAGAAGTTGAGAGAATGAAGTCTAATATTCTTTTTTGGTCAACTACAATGTTTGATTTCATTTTTTGCAATCATTAGTTCATTTCGCTTGAGGCGTCACAATGCCCATACCGGATTTTTTTGAAATTTCGGACACAAGTTTTCCAATAATGGTTATAGGCTAAAACAAAACCGATATCTAAAGGGCGTGTAGAACCTCCCATACAAATCGAATTTTTCATAGTGCATATCTCTGGAAGTATTTGTGGTAGAGTCCTGGAACTTTGTATGGATATATGTATGAAGTCAATCTGGAGCTCATGGAAAAATATGAGTTTATTGGAAAATGCGGCGTGCCACGGTAGAACTAGGAATAGAGGTAAAACCTATGAAAAATGGGGGTATATGAAAACAATCTCGTAGCCGTTGAAAAGAGCTAGCGGTATAAGCCAAATAAACT